GAAAAGACGAGAGATGAAGGAGGATCCGTTGCGTCGCTGGTGCAGACCGCGCGAAACCATGTGACGAGAGGGATATGGCGTTCTGTCGGGCTGCATCCGCATGCGTGATTTCCGGGCCTGGGATAAGGTTTCGGAACTGGGTGATAGAGTTCGCCCGGTAGGCACTTGGTGAGGACTCGTGAGGCACAGTAGTGCGGAATGGGCATAAGGCGACGGGACCGGTAGGAGTCACATCTGCCTCGCCGTTCCCATGGGGAACCGAGTGAAGGTTCGGTGGACGGCACCCAACATGTCCGGGCCATCAAGATACGCCAAGGACTTTGCAACGAGTGTCGGCGACGCGTTGAAGCTGTCGTTCGGAAGGATCACAGGGGCGGTGGTGTGGAGGTCGTTTCAAGTGAGTACAACGGAAAGATTGTGTACGGAGAGAACACGTTCGAAGTCAGCTGGTAGGTGAACAGGGAGTGCGACGTGGATGTAGTCTTCATCACGTCAAGTACGAACGCGATGAGGAGGGGTGACCGAGTGACGGCAGCAACAGTGTGGCTTGCGCGCCGACTGTCAGTGTTAGCATTGCACCAACACGGTTGAGAGAGAGCGTTGTAGTCAAACTAATGAACGTCCCAGTGGTTGCCGCGGTCGACGAGAGTAGAGAATAAGCGTTGGCCATGGTCGGGATTTCGAAGAGATTTAGACCTGATGCCGACGCAAGAGTTTAATCTATTCTAGTTCTAGCTTGCAGCTCGGCTGAAGGAAGAATTGTGAGCAGAGAAGGAGACAACTTTCTTGCGATCGACTGTTCAATGGCTGAAGGAGAGAGTTGACCGGTCTGCGTGTTGTGTTCATTCAAGTTGCTATCTGTGAGCGGTCTCGTGGGGTGCTATTGCCTTAGAGTGGATCTTGCGAAAAGGCAGTGGCAATCGACATGTATGTGGGGTATCCATTTCAGGAACGCAGGTGATGACCTGTGGCGTGTAGAGATGTACTTGTTGTGTGTGAGCGAAGTGTGGGAGTAGATTCGTATTTTGTGAGATGGTACCAGTCTGGCAACTGTGAGTCGAGTCATTCATCGAAGAACCCATGAGGGTTCAGGTTTCCACGCCGGTCAGCGTGGATGGATAGGGATCGGGATCGTTTGTCTTCTTTGGCGTGCGGCTGCTCGACAACGATCTTTGTCATGTTTCTACCATGTACAGTAGAGTTCTTCTTACTACCAAGGGTTGCTGTTTCCGAATGGTCATTCGTGGATACAATCTGAAGCTGACGCCCGAGTTCGGCCATGAAAGTGCTTCTTTCCTTGTGATAGAATGAATGTCAAAGAGAGACATGCAGGTCAGCATAAGGAAGCATCAGAACCCCATCAACATGGTCTGCAGATGATGCTGATAAAATCACTCGAGACAAGAAGAAGCTGGCAGCAGAAGTGATATCGAGATCTCACAATTACCAAAACTTGTCTCAGTCGAGCAAGTGCTAAAAGTCGAAAGAAGTCTAGAAACACTTGAAAAGGAGACAGTGCAGAAGCCATGGCGCCCAACTTGAAACCACTCAGTGACGAGGGAAAGGCGCCCGATGGTGCACTGGATAGTGCCATTCACGCGGCAGATCCATATCGGCGCCAAGGAACCAAGTATCTGCACACGCAAGGAGAAGGAGACAATGGGAATCCGACCGGAGCCGTGGTAGTCCCCATCAGTCTGGCCACCACATTCCAGCAAAAGACGCCAGGAAAAGCCACCGCTCCAGAGGATCCCAACAGCTTTGGACTGGGATTTGAGTATTCTCGAACCGGTGAGTACAAACTAACTCTTCTAGCTAGCTACCCGTACCGAGTGACAAAAAAATGGCGATGGCTACTTATTAAAGTTTCTCTCTTTTGTGTTTCTATCTATCGATCTATTTTTATTGCAACAGGCAATCCCACACGAGGAGCCTTTGAACGAGCCATGGCGCAGGCCGAAAATGCCAAGTACTGCGTCGCATTTTCATCCGGCAGCGCTGCTACGTCTGCCGTGGTCCATTTGCTCCAACATGGAGATCACATGCTTTGTGTGGACGATGTCTACGGCGGCACACAACGCTACTTTCGACGCATAGTCCATCCCAACATGGGAATCGACATGGACTTTTGTGACATGAGCCATCCCTCCGAATTAGTATTCAACAAACCCAACAACAAAACAACAAAATTGCTCTGGCTCGAAAGTCCCACCAATCCCACTCTCAAAGTGACCGATATTGCAGAGGTCGCCAAGGCTTGCCAAGAGAATTCGTGTCTCTTGGCCGTCGACAATACATTCTGTTCCCCCTATTTCCAAACACCCCTCAATCTGGGAGCCGATATCGTCGTTCACTCGGTCACAAAATACATTGGTGGACACTCGGATGTTGTCATGGGAGTGGTCTGTACCAACAGTGATGATGTCTATTCCAAGTTGCGTTTTGTCCAAAATGGCGTGGGGGCTGTCCCGTCTCCGTTTGATTGCTTCTTGGCTCATCGTGGACTCAAGACTCTCCATGTCCGCATGGAGGCAGCGGCACGGTAGGTTCTATTGCTCTTGTTCCTTCCTTTTTCGTCAGCTTTAATAATTCGCGCCTCACCTGCATGCATCGCCCTCTCTCTACCAGAAACGCCAATGCCATTGCCTTGTTCCTGGAGAATCACGACGCGGTTACCAAGGTGCTCTATCCTGGACTGAAATCGCATCCGCAGGTGCAGTATCTATCAAGCTAGCCCAGAAGATTGCAGGGTTGTCTCAACAGCAGGATGCCGCCTCACAGATCCCTTTCGTTTCCCACTTTCAGCACGACATTGCCGCCAAACAGCAGCATGGATTTGGGGCCATGATTACCTTTTACTGCGTGGGTGGAAGAGAACAGAGTGCCTGCATACTGCAGAATCTGCACCTCTTTACATTGGCGGAATCTCTGGGAGCTGTCGAGTCTCTGGCCGAATGCCCCAGTCTCATGACGCATGCATCGGTACCAGATGATCAACGTGCCATACTTGGAATCGATGATACACTCATTCGCTTGTCGGTGGGCATTGAAAGTTGTCATGATTTGATTCAGGATTTGGACAATGCATTGAACTCTGCCTTGTCGACACTCAAGTAACGAACTAACTACAGGTATAGAAGCCGGGAAAGGTTCCTTGCAGGTATGAGACATCTTCAGCGCGCGGAAACCCAGGCCGCAAGCGCTATCTACGGAAACAACTATATACTCTGGCTTCCTCTAATTGAAGCTGTAAACCACATAGAAAGAAAGAGCACTTTGACTGAAACCATGGAATTTTTGTTAGAATGGTGCTAGTACTTTGGGATCTGCCTTTTAAAAAACGCAAGCAAATCCCTCCCCGAGAGACACGGAAACCTGCGCTCGAACAACTGGAGGCAAGGCGAATGAGAGGAATAGAACAGCGCAAAACAAACACAGCCAACCAACTAAAGAGTTGTTAGCTGCAATTCAGTTTTATGTACTAGCAGGGAGGACGGAAGTGAAACCCAAGACATCCAGAGCAAGAGACGAGGACAGCGCAGGAGGACGAACGACGAAGACTGTGACGAAGGCAACCGACTAAAGAATCAAAATGGAACCAGACGCAGACGAATCACTGAAGTTGACGAAGCCAACCAACACATGGAACCGACGGGACCAGCAGGATCAGCTCGAACTAGCCGGCACCAGGGCAGCTTGTTGGATCCTTTCAGCAGGCAACTCGTTTCATCACCCAGGTCAAGAGGTCTTGCCAAACATGCTGCATCGTCACCCACCGTCAACCCTGTGAGTTCGCTGGTTCCTTAGATTTGGTAGTAGCTGGAGATGCAAGTTTGGGAAGTTGCTGCCACTCGTTGTTTCCCCAGAAAGAACGGCACGTTAAAGAGAAGAGAGAAAGAAGATGAGACGATCAAGACACAACCATCGTCTTCGAGAACGCTTGTGGATGTTGCTTTAGCACCGGGGGTTCTTTGGGTGCACTATTCCGAAGTGGTCGAAGAGCTCGGGGCCGTTTGCCGTGGCCATTGCCACTGGTCCACAACCGTAGAGAACTGTAGCTCGAAAGTTGCCAAGGCCAACTGGGACAGTTGGAAAGGATTGGCTTCTGTGGAGGCCTGGCAGGTGGAAGTGGCTGAAAAGTAGAGTTGCTTGCGAAACTGGTTCCTGGGAATGCCGCCGAATACATCAACAGTGGTAGGTTTGGTTCGATCAGAAGCAGCGACAGTCATTCGTGTCTTTGGCATCGTCTTGGCTCCGCAGTTGGTAGTGGGCCTTGAACATTTAAAAAAAAAACATCCCGACTTGAGCTGGTGCGACCCAACGACGGACCTTGACTCCTCAGACGGACACAAATCTTGAGAAGAAAGAAGAACTCTGGAACCATGGCTTCAGCAGGTCAAGCGAGAGAAGATGTGTGAGACTTAAGCTATCTAAGAGTGAACATGAGCTCGACGCCACAACCAGCCAGGCAGATCCAAGGGGAGACAAGGAACCAGCCAACCGACCAACCAACGGGAAGAGGAAGAGCCACAGCAAAAGGAAGAGGAAGAGCCAGAAGAAACGGAGGAGAACCAAAAGAATCTAGCTGGAAAGTGGAATTGTTTCCGAAAATGGTTCCTGGGATTGCCGGTGTTGTTGTCGTCGTCGTCGTCGTCAAAAGAGCTGCAGCGGCTCCGCCCGCTTGGTTTGTCTGATCGAACAAAGCAACTGGGCGTTGAGTTGAGAATCCATCAATCACCGTGGCATTGGGCGAAAGCGATCTGAGTTCTGCCAAAGTCGGCTTTGGAACATCTTGAACGACCAACCGACCAACAGGAAAAGGAAGAGCCTGGCCAAACGTCCACTGGGCTCTCCTTGAAGATCGCCCAGCTTTCATATGGTTGCAGGTTTCCACTTGTGTTACTCTGGGTTGGTCGGTCGGCTGGTTGTCGGTTTGGTCGGTCGTTTTGGTCGGTCGTTTTGTCGGTTGGCTCCTTGGCGGTCACATTCGTTGGTTGGTTGGTTGGGTTTGGTTGGTTTGGCTGCGTTGTGCTCCGTGACCCTGTAGCATGCATGAGGAACCGACCGTTGCCTTGTCTTGGAGAGGAAGAAGGAGACAGACGTTGACGACGAGGACCATCAGAGGCGGTAAAGGACTTGCTGTTGCCTGCTGAAGAATCAGAATGGAACAAGGAAGAGGTTAGACTTGAGCTGGTACGGTAGCAAAGCAAAGCAAGACCGCATGCATGCATGACACTTTGGTTCAGCGAAGTGGGGAACAACAGTCTTCTAAGAGTGTCTGCCACCCCCCACTTCCAACGACGTTTATGTTGGCTCTCTCGAGCAAAGAACTACTAATGTCATGCATGCATGCCGTTCGCTAGCGGACCGTACCTGTTTGTTGTTGATGAACCGACCGTTGCCTTGCACGAGGACGAACCACCATTGTCAACTGGATCAGACCTACGTTGGGAACTAAAGGGATAAGGCGGCAACGGTCGACGACCGTGAAGCAATGGCACAAAAGACAGGAACAAGTGGACTTACCGTTGCACGAGGACGACCCACCCCACAACTGGAACCACCGCAAGACAACACCATTGCCGGCGAAGAGTGAACGGTGGGCCCCACAGGGGAAGCCCAATCACTCTCCTGCAAGCAGCACCGGCAAAGGTGTCATCGTCATGCGCCCACCCCAACTAGAACCACCGCAAGATGACTCTGGATCCGTTCAACCACACAGCGGTCCGCGCGAGGGTCCACCCGTAGATGCACATCTCGAAGCACGTGAACGTGGGACTCTCAATACCGTCATTGTCATCGTCATGCATTGGAAGAAGAAGTTGTGTTTGTGCGAGAAAAAGTTTGCTTGAGGCAAACGGCGTTTCATTTCAGCAAACGATCGTTTCATTTTGAAAATCAAACATCAAAACGGCAAGGTGTCAACATCAAAAATCAAAAATGGAGCGCGTCATGGAATTGCCGTTTTATTTCAAAACTGAAACGACCGTCGGCAAAAGGTACGGTACGATCGAGCGGTGGTTGATTGTCGGATGCTGCTTCCAAGCAACAGTGGCTGACTGAGTCGACATAGGCACACGCTACGGTAGACCCAATGCATCAGTGACATCTGTTTGATACCCTTTTCGAGAGACGAGGCGTCTGTCCCAACGTGGAAGATGTCCTGCCCCACATCCAAGCGAATCGAGTCGAGTCGCATCTGCCATACCCAGCACTCAGAGCCACCGACGCATCTGTTCCTTCCAGAGGATTGGTCCAAGGATCATGGTGAAGAGGAGTGTTGTCATGCATGGCGAAGAGGAGTGTCCTCATGAAGGTTATGTAGCATACCGGAGTGAGTAGACTAAATAATGGAGGGAGACAGACAGCCAGCAAGCAACAAAACGACAGATGCTGAAGTGAGAAAATGTGAAGAGACGCCCAACCGTTGGCCTCCCCACCGGCGCCGTTACCGCACAGATACTTATCATTTTACCGTTACTTCACTGGTACCGGTTATTGACATTCGATACAAATCGAATTATTCGATCATTCATGCGGCACCAGTCCCAGTACACATTTTAATAAAAAATAGTATTTTGTTTTCATACTTTTTGAAAAAGAAAGGTTTCATTTATTTCAAATTGAGTCCTACGATCTCGCGCGATGTCGCGCGATGTCGTGCGAGATCGCGCGAGGTGCTCAATTTGAAATGACACCCTGTTTTTCAAAAAGTTTGAAAACAAAATACTATTTTAAAAATTAATGCTGGTCTTGATTTACAAAAGGCTTTTAATTTTAAAAAATACTCTGTCTACTAGCTAGTTTACCAGGTAGTCATTGCCCTTCTCTGGTAACCCTAATCCCTAATGCCTATTATTTTCGGTTTCGGTATTCGGACGGTCTGCGGAACCTGATACGGGGCGGTGGTACCACCGGTAGCCAATCGCCGCCATGTTTTGCGTTGATTGATTTGACTTTGGAGCCACCTCGTCGAGGATACTGAGGCAGTTCCGGAGATGCATGCAGTGACACACGACCTGCACAAGTTGTACGGCAATAGTTCTAGTAGAATCATAGAGATAGATTATTTGGACCGACGAACCATCCAGAACCTGTCATGTCTGTTCTGAGATGCTGGACTCTCTGGGAAGGAAGCATCATGTTTTGATTGCGAGCAAACAAATGCCGCAATCCACTCAACCACTTGACGTTCAGCTCGGAAAGGTGCAATGCATGCTGGCCGCCCCATCACCCAGCCATTTACGAAGATCGTTGGTGATTGCCGAAAGGCTTCTGCAATGAAAAAGATTGGTGACTGCCGAAAGGCTTCTGCAATGCAAAAGATCAGAGGAACGAGTGCTACAAAGTCGACTGGTCAAGTCATTACAGTATAGGTATGTATCATGTAGCTAGATTGGAACTTAGTAAGAATATCACGAATACGTCTGTTCGAAAGGAATCGAATCCTCATTATTTCTGCTTTCGACATCACAGCCGCTGACAATAGTCTACGCAACAAAAAGCAAGACAATTGCTCAATATACCAGCATATTGTTGTTGCTGCTGTCTGTCTAAGCATCTGCGGATTTCAATGCCAAAGCAACCTTGGCAAATCCTTCTCCTTGGAGCTTGGCTCGCTCCAGTTCAAACTCCGATGGCATGCGAGAACCATCCGCGCCAGCAAAAGTGCCTGCTCCCCAGGGACTGCCTCCCTCGGGAGTGTCGACTTGGAACATTTTGGGCGTGTGGTATCCAGTGGGCACATACACCATTCCGTGGTGAACCAATTGGGTCAACCAGGTCATGGCTGTGGTCTCTTGGCCTCCTCCCTATACACGGTATCAGCAAGTTGAATGTCAGAAGTGCACTCAAAACAAGAACAGCAACATCTTGAGCCACAATCTATCGTACCTGAGTTCCGGTGGAGAAGAAGATTCCAGCAGGCTTTCCGGCGAGCTTTCCTCCTTGCCAGAGTCCACCGGTGGAATCCATAAAGGCTTTCATTTGTGCTGCCGCCATACCAAATCGAGTTGGAATGCCAAAGATGATTCCATCGGCATCTGCCAGATCCGAAGCCTTGATGACGGGAACATCCGCATCCTTGGGAGGAGCTCCCATCTTCTTCAGAACCTCCTCGGGAAGAGTCTCGGGGACTTGGTACAATACAGCTTCCGCACATCCAACAGAATCCACGCCCTCCTTGACCTTTTGAGCCATGGTCTTGACATGTCCATACATGGAGTAGTAAACAATGATGATCTTCGCCATGGTGGAAATTCTCGGTGATCGATGTATTTTGGAGTTAGTTTTCTACTACAGTAGAGCTGGAGAAGTGTTGATTTTATGAGCGAGACATCGTGTCCGTGCCAAACAAACAGCGGAACTTGGATCTTGTGATCGGCCGACTAAAGATACCAGGAACTCCAACACCCGAACCTTCCGTTACAGCAACCTCGTAGTAAAAGCAATGGGCCAAATCTTATGCGGGGATGTCGGCAAGGAAGCTTGAGGAACATTCATTGCGTGTGCTGCTTCGCCGGTGGAGGGCCGACTGTGGTAGAATGTACTGTACCAGTGAGCGATGATGGATGAGGAGTATCCAGACCAAAACAAGGTTTAACAGCACTTTGAAGAGCAGGTTGAGAGGATCACGCACGAATAATTCAATCGCGGGTAGTGGTCCTATTTTCAAAAGGTTAGGGCTTTTGCATGATGCCGCCTCTTGCTTTTGCGCGTGGGCACCCATGTGAGGAAGGTCTGAAGTTGCGGGTGCACCACCCGTACATGTTCCATCCATCAACGAGATTGACTGCTTGACGAGAAGTCATCTTGACCTACCTGGATCCCCATTGTTGTTGGTCATCTACCTCCTTTGTAACGGTAGATCAAAAACAAGAAAACGTCTCCTCTGCGACAGCCAAGGAGGCGGATTCAGACATTCAAGTCCATACATACGGTATAACGAGTGAAATCAGGACGAGACTTTCGAGGACAAGAGGAGCGGAGAGCAAAGGGAGAAAAGAATGGCAGGTCAGCATGCAACTTACACCGAGCTTTTCGTAGACCTTGAAGCCATGCGGCAGTGTGTATTGATGCACGACAAACTGACCGGTTTTGGACACTTTGAATTCCTGGAGCTTTAAAGGAAGAACATTATAGATTCGTAGTTTTGTTATGCCAATGCCAGCCCTCGAATAGCCCTACCGGAGATTGAAAACAGGGCATACCGTCTACGCACAAGCACTCAGAGGAACGGATCTTCCCTGAGACTCAGCTGGGTGTGGGGCTGGTAGCGGGAGCAGAGCACGCTGATCATGGCATTTTCTGTTGCATGAGTTTCCAGAGCTTCTGGCTGGTTGGGGACATCCTGGCCATGCCGGTCCATGAAAATGGGCATTCCGTCATCAGCTGAGATCTTGTTGCTACGGGCCGAGCAGACTTGTCCTTAGATGAGCTGCTTCTTGGATGCCAAGAACGCCGTAGGAACCTTGGAGATCTTCTCTCGTACTTGGGTTTGTCGCACTTGGGCACCATTTGGTTTGAAGAACCACAGTGCCAGCGCAGGAGAGGACACCTCCTCCAACTAGATCAAGTGTATGGTGAACACGCACGAATGAGCAGGATATTCGATCAAATAACTTGGTAGCCAATCGACATGATACACATGCGTATTTCAGTCGGCTGCATCCCAATCAATGAAGCGAACCAATCCAACTTCGATAACTTCCTAATCCTATGTTCGCTGCTATATAACTGTTGAAATAATTGTTGCATCTCTCTGTACACTCTTCGTGGGGGCGGGCTGTACTTACTTGAGCCCCAGCTGGCTAGGCTTACCGTAGCTAGCTAGGCCTTAGGAGCAATCGAAACCGTTGTATTATCAGGTTGGCGCCTCGGATGCATTTTCCGTCGCACCTCTTCTCTACATGTATCCGATTTCGATTTCGCTTGTGGAAATGTTGTGGCACGTGACAGCTCACGTGACCAGGTTCATTTTGTTGTGTGCGGAATAATGTTTTTCACACGAGCAGCTCGTTCCCTGTTCACTGAATACACTGTCCGTGGATTAACGCCATGGGGTCAAGGACAAACAAAATTCGCAGTGCACGCTACCTCCGTTGAGCCGCTTGCTTGCTTGATGGATGGAGAAGCCAAGATGATCGCTCACAATCCTGAGATGGTCGCCCCTCAACAGTCAAACAGAAACAAAGAGCAGAAACAACGATTTTATTAAGGTACTATGGTTAATGTAGCCATTGTGGGAGCAGGAGCCGCTGGTCTTCAGGCAGCATTGACATTGCAGAATGCTGGGATGACTTTTCAGATCTTGGAGGCAGATTCGAGTGAGTTCACGATAGTAACGGTGATTCTCGATTGGTGGTTGTGACGTTGTGACAAAGTAATTAATCACCCCCCTTCCTGTCCTACGGTTGTACTGTACAGAACTTGGTGGTCGTCTTCAAAAACGAGAGGGGTTTGCGGATTTCCCCATTGATGTTGGTGGTGAATGGATTCATGTCAATCCCAGCATTTTGAATGATCTTGCAGGACAGACAGTCACCAATACCATCAACACAGTAGCCTATCTTACGGAATATGATGAATATGAAGAAGGTTCCTGGAATACCTTACCATATCAAAACCAAGATTACAAGTTCGTGGGATATACATGGGCAGACTTTTTCAATGATCATGTTGCCAATTCTGGTGTCAAGGACAGCATTGTCTACAACTGCAATGTAAATGCGATCGACTATTCCAGCTCTCCGGTTACACTTGGTTGCACAAGTGGCTCTACTTATACAGCCGATCATGTCATTGTCACAGTGTCTACAAAAGTTCTTCAAGACAACGACATATCCTTTACACCTACCATCCCTTCCAATGTGCGGAGTGCCATTGACAAGTACATTCTCATGGATGGTCTCAAAGCATTCCTTAAGTTCACATCCACATTTTATCGTCAAGGCTTTTCTCGAGCTGTTGATTCTCAGGGTGTAACCTATGGGGACAGATACTTCTATGACATTACCTTTGGACAATCATCTTCTGAGCATGTCATGGGCTCGCTCGCGGTTGGACAGCCAGCATCCTCGTATGTCAGTCAATCTGAACAGCAAGTCCTCAAGTCCATCTTGGTGCAGCTTGATGAGCTCTACAACAACCAAGCAACGCCGGCCTATATTGATGGATTTGTCCAGAATTGGAACAATCAGCCCTACGTTCGTGGGGCCTACACTCATTTGGGGGATAGGGACTATGAATCCGCCATCACTACGATGCGAACTTCGTTAGGAGATGGCAAGGTTTACTTTGCTGGAGAAGCCATTCCAGCAGACAATTATGAATGGGGATTTGCCCATGAAGCTGCCAAATCGGGACGCTCAGCGGCCAACAAGATTATCAGTGCCAACGGTGGAACGACAGAGGCGCCGTCTCCGTCTCCAGATCCGTCCTGCTTTTCAAAACAGGCCACCGTCAAAGTCCGCGACCGAGAAGGTCCAACACCGATGACACGTCTTGCACGAGGAGATTGGGTATTGGTGGATGCCACAACCAACAAATACGAGCCAATCTACGCCTTTGCGCATTGGAATGAAGACAAGCAGTCAGAGTTCCTGCAGCTTACTACTAGCAGTGGCAGCAAGCTGGAGCTTACGGGAGATCACATGGTCTTTGTAGTTGGACGGCACCACCCCGTTCCGGCACGGTCAGTGCAAGTAGGGGATCTCTTGGTGTCTGGTGGGAGCAATGACACGTACGACACTGATTTGGACCTGTCAGGAGGTCTTGTGACTATGATTCAAACAGTGCGCAGGACGGGGATCTACGCACCATTGACTCCTTCTGGAGCTTTGGTGGTGGATGGTATATTGGCTTCATCTTATGTGGCATTACAACAAGAGAGTCTCGAGTTTGTCCAATGGCACGATGGCACCACAATCCCTCTTCTTTCCCAGCAACGCCTGGCCCATTGGGGTTTGGCTCCATTCCGCATGATTTGTACCACACAACTTTTGACGACGACTGCTGCAGCAAGTACTCTTTGCGATGCCAGTGCTGACAACCATGGCATGCCGGCCTATGTGAGGATGGGGCTGCAGCTCAGTCAGTGGGCAGACCAGCAAAGCAAATGGACGCAAGTGCTCCTAATCTTTCCCCTCTTCTTGATTCTTTTGGGTATTCTTGCTTCCGCAGAAGTGCCGTGGTATCTGGGGGTCCCTGGCTTGGTGACGTTGGTGACTCTTCTTTATGTGCATCTTGTTGCCAAACATTGCAATGTATCCTTTTCTGTGCAAAGGAGCAAGTCAGCTCTTTGCTTTCATCGAATACTCAAAGCGAAAAAGTAGGCTCTAAGTTGGTCACATTTTCAAACTACACAACCTAACTGGCTAGCCATATAAGTAAAGGATCAATAGTGACGGTACACACAAATGACCGTGTTACCAATACTGAGCCGATCCTGATTGTGCTCCACGGTACTGGAGTCTCTTCCAGCTTGCGATTGGTAACCGTTGCATTGAACTATAGCATCAGCTACGACTGCCCACGGATCACGCTTTTGGTGAGTACGTTAACTTTTCTTCCAAGGCCCGCGAAATAAATCGTGTGGATGGAAATCGTTTGTTATTCTAGGAACCATCTATCAAGTACTGTAGTCTAATTCCACAGACGGGGCATGGACTCTCGCAGACTGGCACCGACTTTTCGCTCCACGACGGCATCGAATTGTGCCAGATCCTCTTGGGTGCGACCTTCCTTGTGAAGCGTGGCACTGGTGACAAACACCGTGGCCATTCCAAGCTCTTTGCCCGCCAGTAGATTTTTGAAGGAATCTTCAAAATAACAAATGCGATGAGGTGGTACTACTACTGGAGGCTGAAGGAACTCGAGTACTTTGTCAAATGCCGCTCGTTCTGGTTTGCACACGTCATTTCCCATAAAGTCACTGCCTAATACGGCTTCGAACTGATCGGCGACTCCCAGCAATTGTAGAATTTCGTGGGCGCTGGTTTCGGGTGCATTGGTAAAGATGATTTTGCGTTGCGGTAAGGATTGCAAAAAGGATCGTAGCTCTGGATCCGGCTGTTGTATAAATTGAGCGGCACCTTTTCGGATAAAGGTATCATAGGCTGTCCCGTCAAACTCGTATCCCTCTCCCATCAATCCTCTCTTGGTGAGATTATACTTGGCAAATATCGGTGTCCAAACTTGCTGTGCCTGTTCGATGGAATGAATGGCATCAAACTTGCCACCTTTGGCTTCCACCATGAACTTGAAAATGTTGGCATGGATGTGATCTTCGTAGCCGCAGGCATGATCGTACAGAGTCCCATCCAAATCGAACAATAGCAGGTCAAAGGGACCAGAAGAAGAAGAAGAAGGCTGATCCGTGTGGTTGTTAACGTTGTTGGACATTGGGTATCTATACCGATACTTCAATCCAATAATATAATAACGGCAGAGACTGACGAACTAACTCCCACTTCTGTTGGGGTTCGTTCGATGGCTGCGTTCGTTCTTGCAAACACACTCTCCTTTTTGGATCGGACCACACGTGTAGTCTAGCTAGCTTCGTCCAAGGATCCGAGAAGCCAAGGGAGGATCTTGTGGGATATCTTTGGGAGCTGCCTCGATCAAGTGCATCCAACAGATCGCAATGCTCCTCATTATTTTTGTGAGCCCTCTAAATTTAGCAGTGTCACCAGTTCGGTATGCCGCAGATAACCGCAACTTCCAATGACGAACGTACCACTCGCGTTCCTGAAGGAGGAAAGATCCACCTAGATCTTTCTCGAAACTACATGGATCCTAAGTATTTATACCTCAAACATAAGATCATTCGGTTTGGTAAAAGGGATTCGATTGATTCAGAAATAAATGTGAAGATTGTAAGGGCATTCAGATTTCTCTACGCACTCTCAGACTTCCTTATGTGCAATAATGAATGAATACCATTAGTATGTAAGCACTCAGAAGATTATTTGAATGTCAAGTGAAAACTGGCGAAAACCTGTCTCCCTTTGTTCTCTACTAGCTAGAAGCTCTGCAGGACAACGAGCTACCCAATGGTGCATCTTGAAGACTCTTCTTCTGCTTCCACAAGCCAATAATTCACTCAATAACCTTCTATGCCCACTAAGCCTGACAGGTATTGGGCAACAGGGTGTTGGATACACTGAAATGGGATCTTTGGAACAGAAGTTCAGTTGTTTCTCAAGATACATGTACTCGCTAGCACACTGTGACTGGCCTGGCCAGAATATCAATGTCGTTATCTTATCCATGGGGAGTCAGCGTAGTTGTCCCAGCTTTCTGCTTGCATGGAAGTTTCACCTTAACTTCCGTGTTTCGGTGCTTCCCTCGGACATTTAGGGCTCTAGTCATGAAGTGCTCATTGACATGTTCCTTCCCGTTTCACTGAATCTTCATTCTTTTGGTGCCTGTTTTGTCGGCGGCAGCTGCCATAAAATTTTCAAGAGTGGGAAACCCGAAGCCCAAGGATCCAGACCTTGTGTTGCGAGATTCCGCAGGACTGAACCGCATTGTTGTGGGAGAATAAGGCAGGCCCAAAACCAGCAGTTCAAGGCCATCTCGCGGCACCAACAAACAACCAACAAACAGCAACAGAGTTTGCAGTGCAAAACGAGAAGCCAGCAAACAACCTTGTTTCAGGAAGTTCAAGTCAATAGTTTTGTTCCCAACACATGGCATACCGTACCCGCAGAATAGAATTCAATAGAATCCCAGTTCAACTAACCGAGCAAGAAGCAAACCGAAAGGTGGGCGTTGGTCTCACAAACTCACAATCGACCCATCAGCTCAAAACAGAACAATCATATTCTATATATCTACCATGGGCAACGAATCCACTATGAGTACAGCCACCACGCCGCTACTGCACCATGCGCCACAGACTCCCAAGCATCCACCATCACCTCCCACCACCACCAAGCCACTGGACAGTCCAGCTTCCGAGCATTCTTCTTCAGACGATGACGACGACGACGACGACATGCCTCCATTGACCGAGACTACTCGAAGCAGTGTCATGTCCAGTCCTCCCCAGCACAGAGGAATGTTGAGTAATCGAAGTGAAGCCACGTCGACGTCGGTGGGAACGGGAGGAAGCTCTGGTGTCCGAGCGGCCAGTTTGGCAGAGAATCTCATGAGGACACAGCAGAGAAATCCCATGGACATTTACAAGCTCGTCAGTGTCCTTGGCGAAGGATCCATGGTGAGTTCAGTCTTGCTAGATCTCTATATAGTATACCCTTTGCATCATCCTGATCAGATCTTACCCTATAGATACCACCTCTTATCTCGTGCTACCTTTCAAAATGTCCAACACAGGGCTCGGTTTGCAAAGTCCGCAAACGTTCGTCTGCCGTGGGAGGATCGGCACGTCCCGACTTTGTGCAGAGATCCATGAGTTATGGTGACGAGGAACACGAAGAAAACCTCGAGCCGTGCTGTTTCACCCTCCCCCTCATTGGACAACTCATTCACAAGATGATACCCCGCAAACAAAAAGCCAGCACTATTAATAACAAACGACCATCCTCTGCTGAGGACTATTATTACGATAGTGCACGATCCGAACTCACTTCCAGTGGTGGCAGTGACTACTACAGTTGCAAGGATGTCTGCTCCTCCCCATCCCAGCAGAACCATCCTCGCAGGCTCTCCTCGTCCATGATCACCTTCAACAACAACTCCAAGAATGGCACTCGGAGACAGCATGAATACGCACTAAAATCCATTCATCTAGACATGTGTGCCAACACACAGCTTCAAAAAGAACTCATCCACGAAGGTAAGCAATGTATGCATGCTGGCTCGTAGCGTTTTGTCATTGCTTCTTTGGTGGCGTGTGACTGACTCATGTCCCGTCTTCCTTCATGTCCCGTCTTCCTTCAGTCTCCATTTTGCGAGAGATTGATCATCCTCATATTGCACGGGCCATTGAAACCTTTGACTTTCAGGGAAGACTCTACATTTGCCTAGAGCTGTGTTCCGGAGGTGACCTGTACTCGAGAGATCCTTACACGGAACTGGAAGCAGCCAATATCGTTTCAGGAGTCCTCAGTGCTGTCTCGTACTTGCACTCCAAAGGCATCATTCATCGCGACTTGAAATTTGAGAACATTAGTAAGTTCCGTCAAATCGACCGTCTTTTGGTCGTGATCAAGGGAGGGAAAAGCCACTCCTTTTTACTGCCCCATCCATCAGGCAAGGCCTAATGCAAGTGTGCATGTCTGTCTTTTTCTGTTTTACTACAGTGTTTGCCGACAAACGACAGGATGCGGAAGTCAAGCTCATCGACTTTGGTCTCTCGCAAAAGTTTGCCAGCCAAGAGGAACACATGTCCGATGCTGTGGGAACCGTCTACACGATGGCTCCCGAACTGCTCGCGGGACATTACAACTCCAAAGCTGATGTTTGGTCGATTGGTGTCATCTCGTACATGTTGATGAGTAGCAGCATGCCATTCTTTGGCAAGACACGCTATCAGGTCATGAAACAAATCTGCAAAGGCAAAGTCAAGTTCGCCTCACGCAAATGGAAGAAAGTGTCCAAGTATGGCAAGGGATTTGTCTTGCATTTGCTAGAGAGTGACCCACAGGAACGTCCATCGGCAGATCGTGCCTTGAAGTATTGTCAAAGATGGATTCGACGCTTGGAGGAAGAAGAGACAGAGCGCATCCTGCAGGAAGGAGGTTTGCCAGCCGAAAGCTATTCGTCTCAAGATTCACGAAAGGTTTGTTGGAGTTCTTCCAAGCACGGTAGTTTCCGTGATGGAAGCCATGACATTGAGATGATGGATCGCATCCAGGCGAGCATCCAAGCCTTTGCACAATACAATACACTGAAGAGGCTGGCACTCATGGTCATTGCCTACAAGAGCACGGCATCGGAGATTGGATGGCTTCGCAGCACCTTCAATCAGTTCGACCTGCTCCACAATGGTGAAATTAGTCTTGGAGAATTCACGCAGGCCTTGTCAGATGTCTACGACTACAGCGACGAAGAAATGGAAGCCCTGTTCGAGGCCATGGACGTCGATGGAACTGGCAGCGTCCATTACACAGAATTTTTGGCTGCGACCATTGAAGCCCACGGATTCATTGACGAAGACCGCATTGCGGATGCCTTTGATCGCATTGATTGCGACGACAGTGGCTTCATTACCATTCAGAATTGTAAGTTTGCATTAATCTTTTGCAAATCCATTTGTCAAGATTCAATTCCTTACACTCATCTCTCGCTTTGACTTGCTTGACTCTTGCATATCAGTGCGCGACTTTCTTGGGGACGATGTCCCGCAGTCTTATCTGGAAGCCATCATCGACGATGCGGATAGGCTAAGAGATAAACGGTGAGTATACTATACTGCAATCTCTATGGTGCTGTTTTGGTTCTGTTTCGTACTTGAAGCTCACACTTTTGGTCATCACGGCTTCTGCCTCGTCTTTTTTCTTCTTTCTCAAGAATATCCTATGATGAGTTCCTTCAGCTTTGGGATCCATCATGCGATGCCACTCTTCGTGATGCCAAAAGAGAAGTCGCAGAGAGAAGAACCAGACGATCAGAGTCTTTGCTCCTTTCTTTGTCGCGAGAGGGCTCAATCTTGTCGGACAGCGACGATGACGACGAGGATGACGACGGACACGACAATCCCGCAGCGGAACAGCATCAACCCAAGCAACTGCCTGCGATCGATCGGGAGGCCACGGAGGAGGCTATGTTAAGAGTTGTCGACAAAACCCCAGTGATAAGCAACGTGAGGAACATGAGAGCCCACGAGTATCGTGCAATCGAGTTTTTCAGCCAACGAAAGGCCCTGTCATTGCGGAATTGGTACTGAGCTTGCACAGCTGCTCGCACCTAGCCGTTGGCCGCCAGCTAACGGGAGACTGGCGTGAATGTACATTGCACACTTCGCTTGCTTAAATGCCTTTTCCACACCCAAAGAAAGTGAAGATGGACGCCGCAAAAAACAAACAGTTCAGTAATGCATTTTCTTGAATAAATTTTGATTTGGTTTTGTTGAGATGTGAACATGCTGGTAGTACTTCTATTTTCTTCTGTTGATTGATTCGATTCGTCCTGTCCCTGGAATCCACGGCGAAAGAGTTCAAGGCAACCCGACCAAAGAAAACCAGGAGTGTGCGAATTGAGAGAAATCCTTGCTGTGTTTGCTCTAGGTGCTTATGTGCTTTCATGAGCGGTATCATTCGTCGTCACAAATGTGCAATCTACTGTGGCTGGCGAGCAGCAGTCCAAGGTTGGATCCCGAGTGGATTCTCGTCTTGGCGCCAGTCAGTGCTGTCGGCGTCGAATGGAGAGCGAAAGGTTGAACAGATTTACCATTGAAGGACGGGAATCGAATCGTGACACTAGTACCATCTATGTTGCAAGATTGTTTCGAACGTCGAAAAGAAGTCCGGGGTCGAGCGAGGACGCTTGGCACCAGCGTCAACACTAACAACAAGCGTGCATTCTGTGTGCTGGCGTCGTCCACTCCCTCTCTCAGAAGAATCATGACACCCGAAATCAATCGAAGGCCCCAAATCACTACCACATTTCCGCCACAGGCAACCTGTGTGCCCCTTGCTTTGTCTGCCACATCATTGGCACCGACGTCTTCACGCCCACGCCAAACTTCAACGGATCTGACAAGTGCCAACATCCCATCTATCTTGAAACCAGCCTTCGTCTGGAACGATAATAACGCCACTCGAATGTGCCCACTCCAGCTAAGCGTTGCACAACTTGACGTGGCGCCTGGTTCTGAAGTCCCAGTACAGAATCGACCTGACGTTTTGCTGCCAAAAAAAACATCCAACCGAATTTCAAAGCAAGATGCAAGGCGATGCAAATAGATTTGAACCATCATCATCTGGTGTAGTCACGTTGACACCAAGGTCCCGGCTTGATTGTGTTGGTTGTTGAACTATCAGTGGTGTCTCTATCTACAAGGAGAATGCAGCTTCGTTGGCATATCTTCGCTCCAGAGCTACTGTGAGCTTACCCAAGATTCTTCTGTTGGCCACTTCCATGTTGGGAGTGAGGTATAGAGTGTCCAACCGTCCCAATTCTGTGGCACAACCAAACTCATAGTTTCTGTGAAACTCTGGTGGAGATATTCTCTTGACCATGGACATGAGCACATTGAGGCATACACCACTGTTAAAGCAATTGACACTGTGCCAAAGCATGGGATAGGCAGATGCCATCTCCTGGAACAGCTTTGTGAAGAGTCGTAGGTTCAGATTGGTTTTCCAGTCAAAGCCATCACATTCCATAAGAAGAAATGCACCGTTTCGAATGGCGCAAAAGTCTGGGTTGAGTCCATTTTGTAAATAGTAAATTGCAGCTAACCAAGTTTCCACAGCTCCAGGTGTCGACAACAACTTGGCATTATAGAATTTTGCCACATCGATAACTTTCACATAATGCCCAGTGGCATAGTTGAAGGAAAAGGACAATGAAAAGCCAGGGAGGAGCTTGATGAATTCACGAACAAAAAAACATCCTCTTGAGGTAGTCTCCGTAATTCCATATTCCTGCCGGAATGCCTGCAGATGACGTGCCCTATCCAGAACATTGTCAATGTCCTGACCTTTTTCAATCAGAGCCAACTGGACATACCAAAAGTCAGAGAGGTTGGTGATCTCAGAGTCCTTTTCAATAGCCTCTTTGACTGTGCGAGCCCATCGTCGTTCATCCTGTGACAGCTCCATCCGGCCGGCATCAGACGGACCCAATGGATGCATCTGAGGTTGATTCAGGACATTGGCACGATCGTCAATATCCTGGTTATCAACTGGAAGATCAGCATCATCACCTCCTGCGTCGTCTGGCCCAGCAATTGCCTCTGGCTCGGGAGGACCTGCTGCTTCTGGTTGATCAACAGCAGCAGCAACAAGGTCGTGTCGTTCCATGAAAAAGATTCCGCTTAGAAGTGATGAGTGCTTGCTAGCTAGCTACTCGACTTCTCGTTTTGTTGAGTGATGTACCAATTGCCTTGTCTCCTTCTTATCTCCGGCTTCAGTACTGAGTATTGCTCCCCTTTCACGTCCACCCAAAGAGGTTACTATGGGGCTCCAGAGAGAGGATGAGTGTAAGGGGTAAGGACGGATGCAAGCCATGGAGAGAGCCAAGCCAGCAGACCGGCAGCACAAAGGAAGAATGAAAGGAAGCAAGGAAGGAGGCTGGAGGAGCTTCAAGGTGTTGATCTGGCACTAGGGACCCTTAAGTCTTTAGGTCCCAGGCCATATCACAACCACTATAATGATGTCAGCAAGCCCACTAGATGCTCACCCTGCTTGCCCAAGGACAAGTAGGGTTCCAATACCGTTAGAGACTGTTAGAGTTGGCACTCCCCAGCTGGGCCTGTGTGATCCAGTATGGGACATCCACCTAGATTCTAGCAGCTCATAATTGTTAATAACAAACTTTAACTAACAATTCTTCACTAGGCTCCAGCCTGGATCAACAGTTATTAACAATCTAACTGAACCGACGACCTCTCACCGACAACAGTGAGAGCAACAACCAAAGCTTTCGCTCCGAGTTGCCGTCCACCCCAACCATCCGACAATGTCGTCCTTCGTCGCCATTGATCACTTTGCCAAGGCAACATTGACAGCCATCCCACCTGATGAAAAGCCTACCTACAATAGCTTGAAAACCATCCACCAAGAACTCAATGACAATGCCATGGCCATCAATTCCACTCTCGGTGGAGGACACTACGGCCACCTAAGACTGGTCCTTCCCCCAATCAAGTACAATGACTTACCCAACACCATCCCGTGGGTCAATCCACTCCACCCTGGAGAAGCACCCGTCCATGGAGTGGCACCTACAGGCCCCCAAATCACTGAAACCAACAGAGTCTATGCAGCCAATGAGACAAAATTCCTCATCTACAGAGCTACTGAAACCGCACTCAAGAAACAACTCATCGAAGCGGTGCCAGACACATTCATCAAGACACTCAAACATGACATGTATGGGTACGCACAAGTCACGGTCATAGCCATGCTCAACCACCTAGATAGAACCTATGGAACAGTTGGTCCACAAGACCTCAGCGACAACATGAAACGAATGACGGCCGAGTGGAGCCCCACTCAGCCAATCGAAGACCTTTACAATCAAGTCAAGGACGCACAGAAATTTGCGGCCGACCATGACCCAATCACGGACAAACACGCAGTACGTGCAGCAATTGACAACCTTGAAAACAGCGGTGTATTCACCAATGCGAAGGAAATGGAAGAACAAGAATTCACCCACATGGAACGCCACTTCAACGCTGCCGACAAGGAACGCCGTCGAATCCTAACAACCAAGGAGATGGGATTTGCCAACAAGGCGATCGAAAAAAGCAACACCAATACTACCCCAAACGTCAACGTAGGAGGAACACCCATGTATTATTGCTGGTCACACGGATTGAGCACCAATGACAAACACACAAGTGCCACCTGCAGTGCACTACGCTAAAAGCTAGTGTAAAGATCTTTCGAGTGTTTTGAGTTTGAGAGAATGAAAGTTATGAGAGGATTAGAAAGCTATGAAAAACTAATCAACGAGAGAGATCCACAATCAAAGGATCGTAGATCTGAACTCCCGCGGGAGACTGTAAAGTGTGATAGAGTAGGTTGCGGTAGCAATCCTACTCTCTCCACGATCCCAAAACGGAACGCGTGGAAGATTCGTCTAGCATTTATCTAGTAGCGTGGAAGTGCTCCACGCTGGCTAAATATCTAGAGCGATGTTTCATCATCAACCTAGTATGACTAGCGCGGTCATTGAGAATTCTGTCTCCAATGACTATTCGCGAAGGACTACGTCATGAGTCGAACTCAGACCCTATCTAGGATCGAGTCGCGAATAAGGCTAAGAGCCGTGTATTGCAGCAGCAAAAAACAGCCTGGTCATCGATCCGATGCCAATGGCGACAACATGCATGGCGGATGTTGCATCATCCGCCGCCGCGCTGGAGAAAAGGCTGTCTATCGACGCCCAGCTCGCCAGAACAATGACGAAAACCAACCTCCTCCAGCCCAAGGATGAGAACGACGGGAGCCACTCACACCAGTAAACAAACCAAGTAAACCAAAATTGAATGTAGCTTTTAAAGAACCACTTATAAAAAAGGAATCTTTACAAACTGACAAAGAGAATGGTCCCCCGCAACCAATAGATAACGAAAAAACAAAGGCAACAAGTCCCCCAATCGTCGCAGACACCGGCAGCACAGGACACTACCTATCCACGGATTTTATAGCCATAAACAACGAACAAATCATCAACATCCAACCGAGCACGAACCCGATTCGAGTCACCCTCCCAGATAACTCAATCATAGAGTCAACACATACATGTCAATTAGACATACCAAATCTTCCAAAAGATGCAACAAGAGCACACCTATTCCCAACACTCGGATCAACATCCCTTCTCTCAATAGGCAAACTATGCGATGCCGGATGCGAAGCAACATTTAGAGCACATGAATGCCTCATCTCCTTTATGGGAGATGTAATCCTCACAGGCGAACGAAACCCAGCCACCAATCAACTGTGGGAACTGAACATACAGCAACCACAAAACCACGCAGCCAATTTAATGGCCACAACACCCAATGCAAACACAGCTGATCTGGTTGCATTCGCACATGCGAGCCTGTTCTCACCAGTGCCTTCCACTCTAAAGGAAGCACTCAAGAAGAAGTACATCCACAATATGCCGGGCCTAACACCGGACTCATTCAACCGGTACACACCCCATTCAATCGCAACCGCCAAAGGACACATGAACCAACAGCGACAAGGACTACGCTCCACCAAAAAAGAACCAGAACAACTTCCGTTGTTGCCGGAACACGACAGTCAAACACCGACGGACGACAGCACATTTCCGACCCAACACGAAGAACAAGACGAAAATGCTGCACACGCATGCTACTCCGCCGTCATCCAACCAACAGGCAAAACGTTCTCCGACCAAACAGGAAGGTTCTTCATACCATCCAGCACAGGTAACAACTACCTGTTCATCCTTTACCACTACGATAGCAATTCCATCCATGCAGAACCAATGCCCAACAGATCGGCAAAGTCGCACGTTGCAGCTTGGACCAAAATCCACAATCAACTAGTTAGAGCTGGATTGAGGCCGAAACTGCACATGATGGACAATGAATGCTCCCAGTTACTCCGTGACCACATCCATAACGCTGGAATCAGCCTGCAAACAACACCAGCAGGCATCCACCGTCGAAACGCGGCAGAAAGAGCCATCCAAACCTATAAGAGCCACCTCATTGCAGGACTCTGCACCACCGACACAAACTTCCCACTACATTTGTGGGATAAGCTCATCCCACAATGCACCATCACACTCAACCTATTGAGAGGATCCCGCATAAACCCTGCATTGTCGGCGCATGCACAAGTCTTTGGACAGTTCGACTTTACAGCCACACCAATCGCACCACCAGGTATGCATGTTGTAGTACACGAAAAACCACATGAGAGACCATCGTGGGCACCAAAGGGCAAAGATGGATGGTACATTGGTCCAGAACTGGAAGCATACAGATGTTTTCGAACCTGGATTTGGGACACTCAAAGAGAACGAAAGGCTGACACATTGTCATGGTTCCCAGAACGGCTCCAGAGCCCACTACCGACACCGCTGGACATAGCCATAGGCGGCATCAAAGATATAGCCACGGCGCTAACACTTCCGAACACAACACCAACAAGCCAATCGCTCACGGACAGTGAGGCACGAACACTGTTGGAGCTGGCAGAAATCTTCGACAAACGACTACACCAACAGCTTACGCCCGAAGCGACACCATCCACGCAATACAAATCAGACACGAATCCACCGGATGACGCAGTTCTGAGGGTGGATGCAAGCACACCCACATACCAAACAGCAACCAAGCACAAAAAACGCCAACAAAAGAAAACAAAGCCGGCACCAACCCCGCCGAACGCAAGTGCGAGTACACCACCACATGAGCAAGCGAACAAGGCCGTGAATCCGGACACAGGCGTGTTATCGGATTACAAGGTCCTGAAACACTCTACGGACGGTGAACAGTGGATCAGTGCATGCTGCAATGAGATAGGACGCTTGGCACAGGGGCGCAAATCTACCGGTCTCAAAGGAACCGAAACAATCCGCTTTATCAAGCACACCGATGTACCAACGGGAAGAAAGCCCACATACCTTCGAGTAGTATGCGATGACCGACCACAGAAAGCAGAAGTCAGACGAGTCCGCTTCACAGTCGGAGGAGACAAGATCGAATATCCATTCGACGTAAGCACCAAAACAGCGTCACTAAGCACAGTCAAGATGCACCTGAACAGTGTCATCTCCACTGAAAACGCCCGCTTCATGTGTGTCGACATAAAGGACTTTTACCTCATGACACCGATGGAGAGACCCGAGTACATGAGAATCCCCAGGGACTGTATCCCCGATGAAATTATGGATCAATACAACCTACACCATCTCGTCCACAATGGATACGTGATGGTTGAAATCATCCGAGGAATGTATGGACTGCCACAAGCCGGTCGCATTGCGAATGATGCACTAGTAGATTACCTCGCAACAAACGGATATCAACAGTCAAAGCACGTCCACGGACTATTCAAGCACAAAGAACGCCCAGTCGCATTTACACTAGTAGTAGACGACTTTGGAGTCAAATACGTAGGCAGAGAACATGCCATGCACTTAATCGACACTCTCGCGAAAGCATACAAGATCACCACTGACTGGAAAGGGGAACTTTATTGTGGCATCCATCTAAACTGGAACTACGAGAACGGAACAGTGGACCTGTCCATGCCGGGATATGTCAAAAGGGCTTTACAGCGATTCAACCATACGCAAACAACAGCACCACAGCACGCTCCCCACAAATGGAACGTTCCACAATATGGCCAACCGGTCCAATATACCGAACCTGAGGACAAAACAAAACCACTCCCACCGTCCGGTATCAAGCACATCCAAGAAGTTGTAGGTGTGCTACTCTATTATGCCCGGGCAGTCGACTGCACGATGCTAATGGCACTAGGCGACATCGCTGCCGAGCAGACCAAAGGAACAGAGAAAACGATGGAGGCCACAGTGATGCTACTCAACTATGCTGCCACCCACCCAGATGCCATATTACGGTACAAACGAAGCGACATGATACTGCATTTGCACTCGGACGCATCCTACCTCTCAGCACCAAAAGCACGGTCAAGGGCAGGAGGATACATGTTCCTCAGCAATGGCAGCATCGACAATGCACCTGATAATGGACCCTTACACGTGGTCGTCAAGATCATGAAAAATGTACTCAGCTCTGCTGCAGAGGCAGAAGTAGGAGCAGCATTCAACAATGCACAGGAAGCATGCCCAATGCGACAAACACTTATCGAAATGGGGCATCCACAACCAGCCACTCCCATCCAAACCGACAACAAGTGCGCAGAAGGAATCCTCACCGGCACAGTCAAGCAAAAGAGATCCAAGGCCATCGACATGCGATTCTATTGGCTCAAGGACAGAATTGAACAAGGGCAATTCACCATCTACTGGCGCCCCGGAATCACCAATAGAGGAGACTACTTCACGAAGCACCATCCAGCGTCGCATCATAAAGCAGAACGAGCTAAGTACTTACTCGACAACAAGCAAGCACCAACATCGACAATGGCAACAACATCATGATAGTGTGAGGGTGTGTTGATCTGGCACTAGGGACCCTTAAGTCTTTAGGTCCCAGGCCATATCACAACCACTATAATGATGTCAGCAAGCCCACTAGATGCTCACCCTGCTTGCCCAAGGACAAGTAGGGTTCCAATACCGTTAGAGACTGTTAGAGTTGGCACTCCCCAGCTGGGCCTGTGTGATCCAGTATGGGACATCCACCTAGATTCTAGCAGCTCATAATTGTTAATAACAAACTTTAACTAACAATTCTTCACTAGGCTCCAGCCTGGATCAACACAAGGGACGAAAGTCTTGCCAGCCACCAGTAGTGCGGAAGGGACCAAGAGCGATGACGATGGTCTTTTCTGTGTCGCTCGAGAGTGTTGCAGCTGCAGTCGCGCGAAGTAACTGTTCGCTGGCTTATGAGTAGAAACAGCAGAGCTGGTGTAATAAGCCCACGACTTTTGGATCTCATGCCATCTCAGAGGAGCTGAATCGAATCGTACGTTTCGGCATACTGGTACCTCAACTATCCAAATACCGTAGCGGGTGGGCTATGCATAGCTGTTGCAAATAATGGGTGGTCTAGCTAGCGGTTGATCAGAAGAACATGCGAAGCAAGGAATGTTCATAGCTTTAAGACTAAAGGACCACCCTTGTGAGCCAACAACTTCCAAATCTCTCTGGAAAACAAAAGTTGCCCGTGGACACCGGACAACCGCAACATATTTTGACGGGATGTACTTGGGCCCATCATTCCGTCCACCCGGAGATAATCAGAATGCTGCTGTCGTGCTTGGCTCGTACCATATCGTTACCAGTGCAGTATGCTCGTCCTCTGCCGACTTTCGATCCATTACAAATACCCCTGTTTTCAATTTTCCAGTACAAGCACTGTACTGTGTATGCATGCACTTGCAGAATGCCGTGCTGCATGCCGAGCATAACCACAGCGAGGACTGTGCTAGATAGATGAATTGCAGCACCGACTGACAACGCCTTTCTCTCTATCTCTCTGGCTCAATCGCTATTCTCGACAGGGTCTCTTTGAGAGCCGGAGGCACTTCTTCAGATGTAGAGCAGCCAAACGTGTTATTAATACCATTGATTCAGCAGGAGATGGTTCATTGGTTTGTGGACTTAGTCCTTCCGGTTTCTGAGGGAGTTTGGATCAAGGAGGGTAGCTCTGGCTGGCAAATCCATTCCTTGGCAACGGCAGACAAATGGTGGCTGCAGAGATGATCGAGCTACAACCCTTGGTACAGCAAGAAAGATGCGCCAGGATCTTGGAATCCAATGACGGGACAAGTTGGGAAGGCTTCTATTAGCGGAAGCCACTGCCACAGCACCGATTCCGATCGTCGCATTTGGACAGTGAACCAGCAGGGTGTGCTGTGGTATCGCAAGGCTTCACCGGAACTTTGATTGAGGTTGGTTGGGGCTGGGTTGATGCCAATGTTGCCTCGGGCGGTTCCTTCATTGGTATCCATGTCGCTGTCGCTTACTTTGGACCGTGGGCTTTATCAATGACTTTTGGCTGATTGTCGGTCTGTTGTACCGCCGATGTCACGAAGAGCTTTCATGGCGGCATGCCAATGAGGACTCAAAGTCTGGAACTGGATCTGTTGATTGCCTCGTTGAGATATCAGATCATTGAAGGTTGATTACCTGGGTGCTCATCATCACTGTTCAACCCAAGAAGCTGTTGGCCGTTGGTTGACCCTGCTTCCAGGATACCCTTCACTTCTCCTGCCAAAGGCTGTGCAAAAAGGTAACCGTCGTCCAGCCAGGGTTTTCAACCTTGATGGTAACATCCACCTGAATCTTTTGTGATGCTTCATTACAATGTACGGCGCATCCTTCGATTGACTTCATGGACACACGAAAGTTCAACAATCGTACACCCACTGTGCATTCAAAACATCGTGCCCCAAGAAGGCATCTCGAGCAAGGTGGTGTAGCATGCCGTAGATCTCAAGGAGGAGAAGCGACTCCGATGGCAAGAAGCAACCATGCAGCCTGGAGCTATGTTTTTAACGCTTGCTTGGCTACTCTCCCATTTTCCTTCCCAGTCCACGGGTCCTTCTTCTTCTGTCGTTAAGGATGGTTAGAAATTTTGGTCTCAACCATGGAGATACGGGCCGTGAAAAGGCTTCCGATATAGTAGCCGCTGTGTTGCTGTCCTTCTCGCTCGATTGTCGTCGTGTATTGTGCAGCTGCGTGGCAAAAGCCCGGATCTCCTCCACAAACCCCAGTATCAGATAGTACTCATAGGTAAACACGACATTTCTCGGCAAGGCATGTCGGGACACGGGCGCAATGTATCCAGTTTGTCCATCCTTGGGACCTCCAGTGCCTTTGGCGCCTCCGGAAAAGCCACCGAGAAAGACAGATTCCTGCAAATTGATGACCCCAAGACCCCAATTCTCTTCATTGACAAAGGCTGCCCAGTGTTCCGTGGCAGGGAAACGACCAGGTATCCATGGAAAGGGTCGATCATTGTCAAAGCCAGCTTCATAGTAGTTCACGGGCTCGCCATTAGTAAAGGGCTTGGAGCCATTGTACGTAACCAACCGATAGAGAATCCCATTGGTATAGACGGCTGGTAGTTCTTGATCAAAGAGGGCCGTCTCGTCGTAGACATCGGTTCTAGCATTCCGGAGCGTATTGATGACCTTGACCGCGGGGAAATCGCCTACTGTTTCGATAGTCTTGTCGAAGGTGCATTCACACGGCACATTGTGACACGCCCACTGCAGTGGACGGGTGACGACCCGCAAGGAATTGTTGCCCAATGTTTTGGAAGGATAAAACTCGAGGACCTCGGACGTGCCACCATCGACATCCCCCGCTCCAATGGGATTCCAAGACCAAGGACCACGAAAAAGGTCGTCGCAGGCTCCATCAGGATATTCGTCCGTGGGTGGATTGTAAGGTATGGGGGCAGCGTAAAACGACATTTGAATTTCTCGTCCCTGATCAAACGAGTTGATGTAGTTGAGCCATGGATCATGTGGGGTGGCCATGTACCCGATACTGCCGCCCAAGTCAAAGTCTATTCCAATTCGTACTTTATCATTGTCTACGATTTGATCACAAGGAGGAATACTGTTGCACAAGATGTACCGATTCCACAGCTCTCTGGGATTCCAAGGAGATAGCCCCGAACAAGGACCAGTACCGGTAGATGACGTTGGCGTGAAGAATGTTGAAAAGGACGACAAAAAGGATTCCATGGTTGATGGTTGTCCGAACTTGTAATTTCAAATCTCACAAGGATTATCCTCTCGAGGGCTGCTGGAGTTACATGCAGTCATGATACGGGGCAACGGGCTGGTTGGAAGAGATCAACTGCATGGACTGCATTGTTGTGTCATTGGCGAGCGAAGCTCCTAAATGATTGAACGATCAGTATGTAAGACCTGTTGGACTGGAGTGCATGCTCAAACAGCAATCTTTTGTGAGCTTGGAAGGCGGGAGGCGTATTGGCAATTACCTGGAGAATAAGATTATTTCCCTACTCTAAACCCCCCGTTATTACTGGAGAATAAGATAAATTATACAGTAGATACGTTTTTTAAAATTAAGGAGCATGGGGGGCTAAGCAAGGTTGTGGAGCAGCTGGGGTGGTGGGTCGTTCTGGGAGAGCAAAGAAGCAAAACGGTGGGGTTGGGGGAAGGGGGTGCGATGAGAAATGGAGGAAGTCGAATTTCCACAGTGGTAGTAGCAGAGGAGGTGTTGATAGAGTAGTTGCTATAGTTGTGTGTGTTACTACTTGGTTGTTGTTGTTGTTGTTGTTGTTGTTGTTGTGTGGCTGATTCTAGTAAGCTGGTAACTGGATAGTCATTCAGTCGCAGTCAACAGTCATTTTCGGTCCCCTCAAGCTAGAGAGGGATCTATCTCACTCTAGATTGCACTTGGAATGGGAAAACAGACTTCATGAGTCTGAAACAGGATGTACCCTTGATGAAGGTATGCATCATATGCATGGCTACATCGCTCTAGCATGTCATTCGTCTCTCAATTCGTCATTCAACTCAACATGATTTCATTTCGTTCATTGTTCAAATTGCTGCTCTCCTGCTTCTAGCCATCATTCTTCAATCACAGCTTCAGGTTGCATTCGGGCAACAGCTTCAGTCTCTATGGAATCTTGTGGGAAAACCTAAATCCTGGGCCAGACTGCCAGGACCTCATGGGCCACACAGGTAAAAAATGGCTCAGCCCATTCAGGACATTGACTTTTGTCTCTGAACTTCAGGGTCCTGTTGCCAGGGTCATTCTATTCTCTCTTCTTGATCGTTCAATCTCTGACACAAAGTCCCCTCAAACCTGGACTATCGTCATCATCTGGTCTCACAACAGCATCTGGTTGCTTGTAGATCTTCTCTTGATTCATCAAATTGCATCTTCCAGCCTGTTCTGATTCGGCAATTCTCGTCGTTCAGCAGAAACAGGGGTGCTGGGAAAAGTCGTCCAGTTTTCTTTTAAAAACTCGCATGTCTAAATCGTCAAATCCGTGCTCCAGGAAGGCAATGTTGTCATTTCGACCTGCTTTTCATGGAAATCCGAAGCACAAAAATTGAGAAGTTCGGTTCTAACATAGGGTTGCACAATTTGCGTCACCTCAAATTCTCGTTTTGGCATATCAAATCTAGCCATTTCCGGTGATATCGATGCGTCACGGTATCAGTGCTCGTCCTCCAACACAGTGTGTCGGGCATCAATTCCATTGCAACATTTGCTTTCATCGCAGCTTTTGCGTCGCGCTACACACAAGGCAGCTGGTTCATATCGACATCATGTCAAATCTGTCTCAACTCGAATCTGTCTCAACTCGAAATCCGTCCCCTTAGCGTGATGCGGAAGGGGCGATCAAACACATAGTCAGTAAATCAAATCAATTCATTCAGCAGCAAACAAGTGATTCAATACAAGTGCACAATTCTCAATCAATTCTCAGTATATCAGAATGTCTCAATATCACGCAGTGTGGCATGTTGGCCGAGTAGGCCTCGTCTCGCCACTGTCAAACTCCACCTCATAAATGGAAGTATCAAGAAATGGGTTAGTATTCGAAAGGCCAATCAATTTCCCATCTGAATTCCTCTTGCACTTTGTGACTGGGCCGTAAGACATTTTGTCACCCTGTGCGACACAAACACGGGTCGAAATGTACTTATCGAAAGCCTCGTGTTGGATCTCATCTGCCTCCGCCAACTCTGGCAAGGGTAACAACTGATCTCAGAGTGCGAACACCGGAAACTCATTGCCGGTTCATCTGGTTGCCCACGCTAGATCCACCAGGAACATCAGTCCGGGATCGCTTCTCGGCTTGCAATGCCGAGATTTGGGACTGGGACTCTGACAACTGTGTCTGCAGCTCGGCAATTTTCCTCTTGTCACCATTGCGGGCGTCCCTAGCCTGTTGCTACTGCGCCGATGTGAGCTGAGCCCACTCATCGGGATGATAGTATCGTTCTGAGTCAACGGGGTCAAAACCTCTGCCTTCACGGCTACGACCACGTCCTCGTCCCCTGCCTCGACCTCTTCCATGGCCTCGGCCTTGGGACCTGCCACTACCACGTCCACGGCCTCTTCCATCAACAATTGGGGAGGATCCGCGACATCAACCTCTTCTCGTTCGGACTCGTACATCGCCCAAATTGTGTTCAGTCTAGCCAAAGTGGCTTGGTTGGGGACGATTTGACGCTGGATTCGTAACATGTGGGACTTGTAGAACCGTAGTTGTCTAAGTCGCTTCTCAAATACAAACCCCAGCTGTCGTCCCCTGTTAGGAACCTCTCTAGGCTGGACTAATGCGGCAGCTGCAGCATTGGCTGCGGCTTCGATGGCTGGATTTGGGATGGTGCTGCCTGGTTTCCTCACATTCTCGCAGATGCTCTTGATGTCGGCATCGGTAAAGGTATCAAGGGAGGCAAAAGCATCCAATCCTTGATCATTCAATGCTGCCCTCATGGCTTGTTGGTGAATGCCGATGATATTCTGTAGATAGTTGTTCATGGCTGCAAGATTGCCTGCCATATTCGCCTCCAATTACTTCTTCTCTTGCGGTATCACTTGGATGAGCAACAGTTGTTGGGTCTTCTTCTCTGCTCCTATTCCAACAGCAAAACTGTACACACCCAGACAAGTAAAACTGTATTCCAGGGAATGAGCTCTGCACACCCAGTCTGTGGCAGTCTAGGCCAAACTCTTGGATTAGGCGTCCCTTCTCCTTGGCTCAACCGGTTTCTTTGGTGACAATGAGGCAGGAACTGATCCAGACTGGAGGAATCAATATTCCAAGTCCAAACCTCTGCTTCCAACTTGGAAGTCTCTTTCTCTCGCTCCACTGGATAGAGCCCCTTCTCTTGAGAGGTCTTCTGTTGCTATGCCGCTTGGAGGCCTTCTCTTCTTCTCTTCTTCTCTTGTTCCCCTGCCAATCGTTGACAATGAGGATCTCTTCTCCACGATGAATCACGACAACAAACTCCTCGTGGCAATGAGGGTCTGTCACTCTTGCAACGCAACGATCGCGACTCTTCTTCGCTCACGATAATGAGCGAGATATCGCTTTGAACGAACGAAGGAGCGAGTGTATGAGTCTTCGTTTGCGACAATGGGATACGGCCGTTGCTTCGAACAGTAGCGTCGCGTCGTCTTGTTCTCGTCGTGTTCGAACTGTAGCTTCGAATCGGCGACAATGGCGCTGCTTTGTAACGAATAGCTGCTAGCTGCTACCTGTCTTCCTCTTGTTCTTCTATCGATCGCTAGCTACCACGCCTGATAAGCCGAATTTCCACAGTGGTAGTAGCAGAGGAGGTGTTGATAGAGTAGTTGCTATAGTTGTGTGTGTTACTACTTGGTTGTTGTTGTTGTTGTGTGGCTGATTCTAGTAAGCTGGTAACTGGATAGCCATTCAGTCGCAGTCAACAGTCATTTTCGAAGTAGAGGGGAAGTCGAGAGGGAGAAAGGGGGGGCAAGATTAGCGGAAGAGAGCAAGTGCACCATCAGCATCTCAGAGAGAAAACGGCTAGCTGATTGTGCCAGCAGGGACACAAGAGCCACACATACAGAGGTGGCGGGCTCAAAGAATAGCTAGGCTGAGCCGAGCATTAACGTAACCATGCACCACTGAGTAGGAGGTTTCCCACTTTGCTGCGAGCAAAGAGGAAAATTGTTTGGCGAGTGCCTCAGCTTCGGCCCCATGGAGGCCATCAGCAGAGATGACAAACCGACTAAACTGGCGGCATTGTGAGGGACAGTCGAACGTTGAGACATTTGTTTTTTTCATTGCGTTCACCTTTACAAATGACCTTGTAAAGATCATTGCAAATATGAGAAGCAGCATCAAGATTGATGACATGAACATCAATTATGCCATCAGTTCGGTCTTATCTCAAGTGACGGCATTGACGAAATATATAAGTCCGACAGTGATTTTAGCCTCGTGGGCGGTTCTACCGCAAATTACGCCATCAATTAAATATACGAGTCCCCCAGTGATGTTAGCCTCATGGGTGGTTCTACCACAAATGACGCCATCGATGAAATTTACAAGTCCGACAGTGACCTTAACCTCATGGGCGGTTCTATCGCAACTGACGCCATCGATGAAATTTACGAGTCCGCCAGTGACGTTACCCTTGTGGGCGGTATATCCCAAGTGAGGCCATCGATTAAATATACGAGTCTGCCAGTCATATTAGCCTCGTGGGCGGTTCTACCGCAAATGACACCATCGATGAAATTTACGAGTCCGCTAGTGATCTTAGCCTCGTGGGCGGTTCTACCGCAAATACGACATCGATAAATTGAGTCCGCAGGGATCCTTAGCCTACCACAAGTTATGAACCATCGAAGAAATTTACGAGTCCGCAGGGATCTTAGCCTCGTGGGCGGGCTTATCCCAAGTTACGCCATCGATTAAATCTAAGAGTCCGACAGTGATCTTAACTTCGTGGGTGGTTCTACCGCAAGTTATGCCATCGATTGAATATAGGAATCTGCCAGTGATATTAGCCTCATGGCGGTTCTACCGCAAATGACGCCATCGATGAAATATACCAGTTGGACAGATATCTTAGCCTCGTTGGTGGTTCTACCGCAAGTTATGCCATCGATTAAATATACGAGTCCGCCAGTGACGTTAGCCTATGTTTAGTCTCATCCCAAGTTATGCCATCGATTAAATCTACGAGTCTGACAGTGATCTTAGCTTCGTGGGTGGTTGCACCGCAAGTGACGCCATCGATTGAATATAGAGTCCGCCAGTGATTTAGCCTTGAGCGGTTCTACCGCAAGAGCCATCGATGAAATATACCAGTCCGACAGTGATCTTAGCCTACCACAAGTTATGTCATCGATGAAATTTACGAGTCCACCAGTGACGTTAGCCTCGTGGGCGCTCTTATCCCAAGTGACACCATCGATGAAATATACGAGTCCGCCAGTGACGTTAGCCTTATGTTTAGTCTCATCCCAAGTTATGCCATCGATTAAATCTACGAGTCTGACAGTGATCTTAGCTTCGTGGGTGGTTGCACCGCAAGTTACGCCATCGATTGAATATATGAGTCCGCCAGTGATGTTAGCCTAATGAGCGGTTCTACCGCAAATGACGCCATCGATGAAATATACCAGTCCGACAGTGATCTTAGCCTACCAGAAGTTATGTCATCGATGAAATTTACGAGTCCACCAGTGACGTTAGCCTCGTGGGCGCTCTTATCCCAAGTGACACCATCGATGAAATTTACGAGTCCGCCAGTGACATTAGCCTTGTGGGCGGTATATTCCAAGTGAGGCCATCGATTAAATATACGAATTTGCCAGTCATATTAGCCTCATGGGCGGTTCTACCGCAAATGACACCATCGATGAAATTTACGAGTTTGCCAGTGATCTTAGCCTCGTGGGCGGTCTTATCCCAAGTTACGCCATGAATTAAATAAATACTTTTTCACGGGAAGCCGAATCGAATCGAGGAGCTTCCCCTCTGAATCTGTCACTACAAGAACAACAACACTAATAGCAACAAACACAACCAATCGGTCATACCTATACCATTACACTACCTATGAGCACCATTAGAAGCATTGAAACGAAGCGAAAGGACCTCAGGAAGCCTGTTTTCTGTTATCTTGTTGAAGAGTACTGTTTTACTATAGGAATCCGCTCAACATCATCACAGGAAACACACTCCCTTTTCCTCTCTTTATCCCTCATTCAAGCCCCTCCAGTCGACAGGATCGATACCTCCTATCTCCTGCGCACCTATCCTATCAAGCGACTGTCAACGCGGCGTTCTCCGGTCCAGATTAGAAAGCCATCCCAATTGAAATCCTACGAGATTGGGCAGGTTTTCTTTTCTCGACCGCCGACGACCAAGTTGGAAGAAATTGAACACAAGAAGAAATCTCCGGTCTTCCCCAGCACAGTACAGAAAACAATTCCCATACGTATTTGTTGTTTTATGAACTCCGCTCCTGACGGCCGATGAAATCCCATTGTCGATCCTCTTTTTCGAACGATCGATCTTCTTCCTCAACAACAGGCTCGGTTAACCTTATCCCTAAGGCAACTGACTGATCCGAATCGCGAATCCGAATCGAATCGATTATACCTGGTAATCGAATCGAATCCAAGACTCGCTACTCCGTGAATCGATCCTCCGTACGAAGCCTACTACCATCAAGAAGAACTTCACGAGATACCTGCAGTGACCGTCGAGAACAGAAACACAGCTGTATTTCTTACTTTCTCACCGGCCACTCTGGGTTTCCCCCGACGTCCTTGTTGGAACTTGATCCTACTGATCCAACCAGTCCTATCCCTATACAGACTGATTGACTGATCCACACCTGCTACTGTTACCACTCCTACATTGATATCTAACTCCTCTCCAAAGGAACAACAAACAACAACAGAGTTCCTGTAAGGATTTCAGCTTTTGTACCCCCAGGCTTGGCTGCACTTTCATCATTTCGACAGCCCCTCCCTGAGATATCCAGCTCCTCTCCAAAGGATCTCACCCCCACAAGAACTAACTACAAAAGCTGCCCCTCTAGCGTATCTGGCTAGATTGTGCAACAATTCATTGACACAGCCACCTTTCTGCTCCTATCTGACTCTCCTACTGAGTATTGAGCCCCAGACAGAACTGCAGCGTGGCGTGGCATAGATATTAATACATAACTGACTCTTTCCCTCTCTCACTGCTTGTTGAGTGACTCTCCAGTGACTTTCCCCAGTTCCACCTGAATCGAATACCCTCCACATCCTGGCTTGACTCTCTGTTGCATGACGACCCTACAACAGATTGAGTACCAGCCTTTGAGACAACACAGTGTCATCCAGTAACACAGCCCCATCAACCAACAACACCCCTTGATACCCCCACCACTGCCTCTACTGGCTATAGCATGACTTCTCCAGTTTTCCCTGAAAGAATCCCTAACAGCCTTTGGCTCTGATCCCATCTTCTCCTGCAGGTAGTGGTATACCTGCACCAGACTTGGCCACAGCCTTTGATCCAGTGGCAACAACAACCCAACAACTTGATATAAACCTTGATTACCAGTGTCTCAGTGCATTGCCCCTTGAATAAACCCCTCTACATCAATCCTCTCGCCACCTCACAAGCACCCTCCATTGCTTGCGTTGAAGCAACGACACTACAGTCAACACTCCAGGATACACAACTCTCCCACCAACCCACCTACCACCCACCATGACTTCCCCATGTCTACCCACAACTTCACTCAAACCCAAGGTCCTCCCAGACATCCCCCCTCCCACACTTCACCCAACCAACCACATCCACCATCCTCCGCAGACTACACAACAACACTCCCCAGATGATCAGCCAACAGCTCCTAGAGCATGCAGCCATCTTGAGGATCACACCCTTCCGAATCACACCCTACCCTATCAGGAAGGATGCCTTTGTTCTCACCCTTGAACAGAGACACGCCTCTATCCTACAACACACCATCAACCATGCCACCTCCCAACTCCTACAACAACACTCCAACACTAACAGGATCTCCCCTCCTGCCCCTGGCACCAGCCCACTCCCAGTGCCCCCCTATCCTCCTTCTATTGACTCAACAACCCCTCGAACAGCCAACAACACTCCAGCAGCCACTGTGCCTCCCTCCTGGGAACCACAGACTGCCAGTGTGTCATTTGACCCCATCTTTTGCCTGCTTGTTGGCCTCTATCAAACAATTTTTGTGCATTGGATGGGTTACACCCTGCTCTGGTCCAGCCTGAGGAGTACCACCTCCTACGGGCTCTGCTGGCATCTTGCCTTGCATGCCAAGGCACTTGCCACAGCTTGGGACCTGATCACCCAGACACACTTACTGGCGAGCACTCTTTGGTCTGGCAATCTATCTGGTCCTCACGGCCATGCCTGAATTCATCCACAAGACGCGGCAGCGCAATATCGTTACAGTAGGATGTATCACTCAGTGCCTGTCGTTGTCGCTGGAGGGTCGACTTCCACTCATTCATGCCGAAAACAGGCGAGAAATACTGGCATTCAAATGCCTCTTCGCAAGAGCTGTTGGCCGGGTTCCTGCTGCAGAGCGAGCTGGTGCAATCCGGGAAGAATTGCCTCCATGATAACAACGCAAAACGATACGAAGCAAGCAGGATGTGCTGTGAAACCGATCGAATCCAATCAATCCACCAATGTAACTAAAGCAGCCAGACCCAGCACTACTGCTGGCTACTAGGTGATACAGTATCTCTGCTTGCCATCACTGCCGCGAGAAATACTGGCTCTCCGCAAAGATATGGTTGTCGCGGTGGACTGGTCGAGACATGGAGTGGTGCCTTGTTCGGAATTATCAGCCTGCCTGCACGAGCGCGAGGAGAGAATAAGTCTCTACGTACTGTAGATCGCTATGAGACAAAGGCCCCGCAATGCTCTGCCATGTTTCTCTTTTACGATGCTCGGATCATCCGTTCGCGGCAGATACCGATCGTCCATGCATACCGGTACACTAGCTACAGACATTACCGTGCGCTGAGTGCCTGATGCATGGATCGAAGGAACTCGGCAACAACTCCAAAATGGCATGTGACGATGCTTGACGCAGATTAACCAGGCTGTTTACCTCGTGCAACCATATTCAAGATCACAGCACTGTGGAGACAAGGGACCGGGTGTACTTCGACAACAGTCAGGTTGAACTACCGGTATCCGCTTGGTCTTTTGATGCAGTGAACGAAGGCTGCCTTTTACGAGTTGGACTGAAGCTTCCTAATTCTAGCTAGCTACGGTAATATTGCTTACCACTTCAAGAATACTTGTAAGAGTGACTCGAGATCTTTGCTGGCGACATACAACTAGCTATCCCAGCACCTGCATTTCACAGCACCTGCATTTCACAGCACCTGCATTTCCTGAGTGGGTTGAATGCTGAGCATCTCTTGGCCGCGGCGAATGATTCGATGATTAATCTACTTGTGGAAGTATGGCCCTTGCTGGCTTCCGTAGATATTCCACCGTCTCTAAACCCCCTTTGTCGTCTACCTGCGGGAATTCGAGGTGCACCACGTCCTTGTGGGTTGATTGGCGCGTTGTACTCTCCAAGTCAGAGAGCCATAAGGAGAAGACTAATGTATGCAATCAAACTTTCTCCCCAATATACGTAGATCATATATTCTTCCCATAATGATCAGGCCCAGATCAAGGCAAGCTACACAACGTTGAGTTCTTTGTGTTGGGCAGCCAGTTTGGGATCGAATCGGGCCCGACCTCGATAACTGGAACCATCGGTTAGCCTGGCCTTCGTGGAGGAACTAATGGAGCTTCGGACAGAATCAGAATCGAAATACTTGGGATGCCGCTTCGCCATTGAAGCTGCCACCGTCACAGCTCCCCAGGACATCCACAACTCAAAGGATCGCTTCACATACAGTTCGGCCATGTGCATGTGCTCCTTCTTGTCCTCAATGAATTGAAAACACAAGTAGTTTGCCAAAGCAGCATCCTGCAAGAACCCAGCCCTGCTAGCAGATACAATGGCATCATCAAATTTGGCAAGGATGGTAGCAGAAGAGGGACCTGTCATTCTAGCAGCGTTGGCTCTCGTCATTTCAGCTTCCAACAACTGGAGTTTGTGTACAAGATTGATGGCACCTTGCTTGACAACCGTACGAAAGTACTTGAGTTGCTTGTCGGCTTGCAATTTGTACTTCAACTTCTGTCTAGGACACAGTATACGGCGAAAATTGGCAATGGCAATCAGGCCATAGAAGAACCGCCGAGAGTTGTACCAAAAGGAAGCCTTCATGATACCTGGTTTGACTTTTTGCAACAAATCTGCCATCTTGGGTGGGCCAAGCAAGGCAATGGCAACGCAAAATGAGAGCATGAGAAACAGCACCACGGATAAAAATTACGAAACCGTGACTTTGCAACACATACCTCTGTTGCCTTTGTAAGATCTCCAAAGTAGAATGAAAGAACCATTTGGAGAGCTTTGATCGATTGATCGCCGATTTTGTTGTGATTGTTCATTTTGTTCCTCTTTTGGATGACCTCACCTTCCTCCATACTGGCTGAGTTTTGAGACCGGCCTGTCAGATTCAGGAGACATTGCCATAGTGGGGACACCACAAAGAAGTACATGACTTGATTGTACTCCAAGTATCGATCACAATGCTTTTCGACATCGTCCAGCAACGGCCCCAGAGGAAGGCCTGAGAAGAAATAATCGATCGAGTAGGCGATAGTGCTCTGAAAAGCATTACCAATCATTCCCAATTGCATGCAGGTTTGTTCACAGACAAGAAATTCCTCCAAGTTGTTGGAAACTGGTTCTAGCCACCACTTGGTGATGGTAGGTATCATAGTTGTGACAGATAGAGCAGACCCAGAGATACCATACCTTTCCACCATTTTGGACGCCAGTTGCCCCAGTCGGTAGGCTTCACGAATGTCGTGTGACTGACCCGCAATAAAGGCAGCTGCAAAAACAAAAGCTTGTGCACAGTTCTTGGTCAAGCCGTACTTGAGCGTGATCTGTATCATCTGGGCAGTGACAAGCATACAGAGTTCCACCTCTTCCCTCTGGTACAAAGGCATGTTGAGTCGGTACAACACCTCCAATGCAATTTCCTTATCCATGTCCGTCATGGGTGGCAATGCCATGATCACATCATTGGACATTGCACTCAGTCGACTCTTCATTTTTTGATACTCCATCTGAGCGTGAATTGTGTTGGGTTTGTGGGGAAGCTTGATGCCCAGTTTCTCCAACTTCCAGAAGGAGTACTCCACCACATCCGAGACACGCCCCTGGGCCAAGTAGCAGTCGTACATGACACCCAGCATCGGGATGTTTTTGTGGCTCTGGGTGGAATTTTCCATGACTTTCTGAGAGGCAGCAAGTGCCTCGTCGATATGGCCACACACAAATTTGGTGGTGGCAAACGCGGAATATAACTTGACAGCAAGCTCTCGGTCACACTCAAAGGGGTTGCCCCCCAAAAATGCCACACCTGCTTCAAGATATCGAGTTGCTGGTAGAATACTTGAAAGAGCAGCCGCCTTTTTTCCGGCCCGATGATTTAGCTTGGCCAATTTGATCTTTTTGTCGTCGGTGCAGGAGGCGATAAGGTCTCTTGACCCATTGACGCCCGAATTCAAATGATCCACAGTCGCAAAGAAAGTTGAATCGTCCTTGAGCAAAACGTCATCATCCATTAGCAGATTTCCAATTCTCCAATGAACTTGGGAGACTTCAACATCATCTGGCAACAATCCGTATGCTGTGAGTTGTATCATGTCATGAGTGAATCGGTAATGGGTTTCATTGAGTTGCATGATAAACTCTTGTTGCATTGCTTCTCCAACACTCTGATAGACGCACTCAACATCCAATGCAGACCGCGCCTTTTCCAAGGCCCGAATATCGAAATGGGCCCCAAAACAAGCAGCCAGCATAAGGAAGTTTTGTACACACTGCGGCAATTGGTGGATTCGTGATGCCAACATCTGTACAACATTGTCTGACAAGGAGGAACGTCGCTTAATGGCTTCGACACTCCAATTCCATTGAAACAGGTTAAAATCAAATGTCAACAAGTCATTGTCTTGCAGCTTTTCCAGAAAGTGTTTCATAAAGAATAGATTGCCGTGTGTGAATCCATAGACGATATCAGAGAGCTGTTGGACTGTATCGATCTCCTTGCTGAGGGCATCAGCTAGTAATTCCGAAACTTGCCGTTCTGTCAAATCATGAAGCATGATGGTCTGAAATGTGCCTGGTGGTGTGGATTCTGTCAATCCACCCAGGAGTTGCTCCTTCCACTTGTAGAACCCTTCAGTGGCGGTCTCTTCTTGGGTGCGAAAGGTAGCACAAATGAGGACATTTTCAAGACTGGGATCCAACAAGAGGGAGCGAAAAATTTCCCTGCTGGTTTGACAACTCCAATGAACATCATCGGCAGTCAACACAACCGTTGATAGTTTGGCAATGGATCGGATGCAGGCTTTAACTGCAGATGTCAAAACACTGAGGGCATCCTTGGAAACTTCGGCGGTTATTGTCATGACACTGTCTTCATCATCATCACTGTCAGCCCCTTTGAATTCTTCACTGGAATCTTCTTCCAATAAATTGTCCTTGGAGTCCTTCTTCAAAAAGGCTCTCAGCACATGATACTGTCGCACGTCCAAGGTATTCTTGATTGCCGTGGGACACTTAGATCCGTCTTCTCCCTGCTTGGTAGTCTCGATCAGTTCCGACAAGAGTGCTCGCAAATTTTCCAAGGGAGCATTGGCAGAGCGTTGATCAAATTTAGTTTCAGAATACCAACAATTTTGCAAGTCGCCCAGTGCAGTCCGGATCAGGGTGGATTTGCCCGTCCCACTATTGCCACCCAACAAGACAGCTCGAACAGAACCTTCCCGGGCTTCTTTTAATGATTTTCGCAGCAGGGCTTCCTCCTCATGACGAGGGATAATTGGAATCTGCAGTCTCTTGGATAGGCGTGGCATTTCTGAAGTCTTATTATTATTTGTTCTACTTCTTTGATGACGTGCTGCTGATGTGCTGATGGTTGGGCTATGCGGAGATCGATGTCGCTTCTCGGGTTGGAAGCAGTTCTGCGCCAAAGCCAGTTGGGCTGCTTGATTGTACCGGTACAAGTATTCGTACCGGTACCGGCATCTTAATACCAGGTACCGACGCTAAGGAAAGGGCTTTTCGGAGCGGTGCTCGGGATGAGCGACCGGATAGTGTATTTGGAATAGTTGCCATGATGAGCGCTAGTCTTCGAAGGCCAGCAGGGGGGAATATATACGTTCGTGATTCTATAGCTAGCTAGACTTATTGTAGACGTTTGTGGAGCCCGCCGTTGTCAGGGTCCTTGTCGAGCAGGCAACTCCTTTCCATTTCATCAAGAACCTTGTCCCAATGCATCAATGCGTCGTCAAATCCTTTCCTCTCCTTGGAGTGACCATATTTCGTAGACAGATTTCGTCGGTGCGTTCACGACCCCGGCCCAACATGGGCTCCAGCAGGGAAATAGATCTTCGATCATGCTGGAGCGCACCGTCACTGTTCACCTGCTTCTTAGCACAATCCCCGTGTTGATATAATGTTATGTATGCCCTAGCTATTTGGAAGTCTAGGCTCCCCCTCGATGTGGTTCGAAACGGCCATACGTTTACTTGGCTCCACAATAGCAGCACGCTGCTCGTATGTCGTGTTGGAGCAGCTTGGTAGTCGCCCCCGGAAATAGTATCTCCCCCTGTTTCTCGATGCGACGTGCTCACGTTGTCGTTGGTTGTCATCGTACTAAGGCAGTGTTGCAGGAGGTTCACGCAGCTTCACAGCCACCTTCACGAACACAAGAAGTACATTGACGGTCTTGGCCTTTTCCTTGGAAGGAGAAGTCATCGAGCCGCTCGCAAAGAACTCGCTGCAACCATAGTTTTGGATCTTCCTGAGCCAATGTCATGAAACCAGCATCTGTGAGAATGTGCGTTGCATTGGATTGGACAAACACAAAGCAGGCTTTCTTGATCTTGGTGTTGCTGTGCAGACTAGCAGCCTGCAAGATCTTTTTGACATTGGAGACACCCAACTTTTGAATGCAGGCATTGGTCGCCAGCTTGATGGCGGGTTTAATATCATACTCCGAGACACAGTCGAATAACATGAGGGGATTTTCCTTGCAAAAGGCGTTTGGAACTTTGCCAGTATAGATTAATTCCAGGATAAGCCGGATGAGAGTGGATGGGTAGCTGGTATTCCATTTTCCAGAGCTCACTTCAGACCAGGGGCCTTTCAGGGCCGTCGCAAAGTAAGGAGACACAGCTGCCAAGACAATCCGATGAGCAGGAAGAGAAACCCCGTCTGAGCATTGGAAGCAAATATCACTGAATTCCTCAGAACAGAGCAAAGATTTCCACGCCGCGGCAACTTCTGCCACGACGGGGACAGTCTTGATTGGAGCAGTGGGCGATTTCTTTGCCTTTTTCTGGATCCGTTTGATGCCTGACTCCATGGCAGAGTGGGTCTGAGCTTCAAAAAAACTGTTTGGGTGCTTTTTGAAGAAGAGGGCCAAATCAAGAGCAGTGTAGCTTTGAGCATCAGATTCAAAAGGATGATAGTTGTATCGTTCGATATTGCACAGGACCAGGCAACTGCAACATTCAGAAGTATTGGCACCATGGGCCAGAAGAAGATCCAAAATCTCCAAAGCAGATTCATAAAGATAAGTCTTTTTCACAGAATGATAAAGATTCACTATTGCCAAATGCAGGGGATACGCAAACCCAAGGATGTCGTCGAGTGCTACTTTGACATGAGGTGGCAGATCTTCTTCCTCGGAACATAGGGGTATCTGATTCACCATGGGCAAACAATTAGCATCAAGCATGCTATTGACGCTCGTCCCTGAGTCCAAGTGGAATTTTACCTGAGTGAGGGAGTTGGCCAAAATGGCTTCAGCCAGTTGGTTGACCACCATCTTGGAGTGTGTTACTAAAATGGTTTGAATTGAAATGCTGGATGGTGAATTCGTTCGGAAATCACCGAGCTCTTATTGTGTGAGTGGAGTTGCTGCCGCCGAGCGCAGAACGGAAAGCACAAGGCGAGGTAGTTTGCTGCATTCCGTTTGGCTTAGAAGCAACGGTTAAAAACTTGAGCTTGAGACCGATGATCCCCAACCCTAGCGAGCTTATGTACGGTAGAAGCTTGTTGAAAAGGTGTGAACTTGAACGCACAATTTCTCTAATTTAATCAATATCCTTCCAGCTCTACTGTCTAGTAGACTGGCTATTCGTTTCGTTTTCTCTTTCTCTCTCGTTCAGATTGTGAGCTCTACAACTGAGCTCCGATATGCATACATATACCAGGATCTTTCGATCCTCTGTTTCTCGCAGTTTCATTTGCACATAGATCTCGTCGATCTATCTTCCTGAAGTGCATGGTTGGCCCTGGAGGGCTTTCCCACTTTACTAAACCTATGGACCTTCATCCGTCCATTCATTTGCTCCGTCCCATCGCTCCTTGCATTCGTCTCTTCGACCTAACTTCCTAACCTTTGTAGTTGCATCATCTAGACGACCATTGTCCTCATTCCTCGTACACCTGGCCATCTGATGATGATCGGATAACCATCTGATTTGAGTCACACATCCCCAATCACGAACCGTGACTGCGGATCCCGAGTCGTCTGTCCGTCATACGAAAATACCTTTCTAACACCCTTCCTGTTTTCGCGATGATGGCAGCGACCTTCTCACCAACTCAAACCAATTGCTCCTTGTCTCCTGTCAGTTTTGGTGCATGTCTGTTGAGGGTCTCGACGTTGACATTCTTGGTCCCAATGTCGCTCACGTTGTCTTCCGAGCGAACAAAATCAATCTTCACTAGGCCGTCCTGCTGCATTTGGTTCACGTAGTGCCACCTCGTATCCATGTGCCTTGTTCGACTTGCACTTGTCTTGTTCTCTGACATAAAGATAGCACCCACGTTATCGATCTTCACTTGCACAGGTAGTTCCACGTTGATCTGTAGGAACTTCAGAATCTGCGCGATGAACGGGACTTCTCGCACTGCTTCGCCGCACGCGTAGAACTCAGCTTCGGAACTCGACAATGCTACAACCTTCTGTAGCTTGGACCTCCAGTGAATGAGTACACCTTCGAGAAATATCATCATGGACGTGACTGATCTTCTGTTGTTCTTGTCTCCGGCCCAATCCGAATCCGAGAATACTTCCTACTTCCACGGTCCTTCGTTCTTCTCTGGTCTCATCAAAAGTCCACGGTTCCTTGAGTCCAGCACGTACTTTACACAACGTAGCATTTCCTTGTACGCTGCTGGCGTTGCGCATCCCAAGACCTTAGCTAGTTCTCGCACCGCGTTTGAGATTTCTGGCCTTGAATGCTTGATAAGGTACATGAGCATACCTACTCCTGTTCAATATCTGCTTTGTTGTTCTTCAGCGATCCATTCGCTCTGTTCGTCAGTCTTCACTATTCCGAGTCCAGGTGTTCCCGCAGTCTTATACTTGGGTAGCTTCTGCACCTCTTCTCCGAATGTGGTTTGAATCTTCTTGATCATGTGGGGTTGTCCCACCCATGCAGCATCCTTTCGGGGATTCATCCGAATCTCACAGTTCAGGTAGTCCGTGAGTTCGTACTCTATTGTCATGTTCAAGCCTCGATCTTTAATCCCTTGAAGCACTTCCTTGATATCGTCTTCTTCTCCAATGGTGAGATTGTCATCCACGTAACATAGAATCACGCATATCTTCCCATTCTTGT